CAGTCAAACTTATTGTTTTCCTCATGGATTCCTCGATATAGTCTACTAATCTTGCAGCTCCCACACTTGAATTAACCACAACCCAGTTCAAAAACCCAAGTGGGTTCGACAGAAACCGACACAGAACGAGACTCTGTGCCAGGAAACTCCTCGTCCCCATTGTTCCTGAAAAGCAGCCTCCGTTGGTTAGAGCACCTGTGGTGCCAATTATGACGCTGCATGTCTACGACCTAGGCATCCCGAATGCAGGACCAGATCAAGCTCCGTAACGCAATCATCCTCCAGCGCTGCGTGATGGCTTTCGTCACTCGTGGCGATCACGTGCATGGATCCTTCCCGAAACATATCTCGTCATGAACACTACTGCCCCGGAAGAGGCGTTGTATTATACACACACGGAAACGGATTCCTTCCGTAACGTCGTCACCACGAATGCTACGGATCCCGAGGTGCGGATGATGATATGAGTGCATTGAATTGCACAGCATCGCCTTTGCGTCAAGCACGTCTTCGTTTCCAGTTCACAGAGTGGGTTTGTTACTGTTGTTTTGAATCATTTCTCACCATTCTGCACAGTGCCATTTTTTGAAGATTTGTTGTGTGTATGTATATATACATATATATATATATATATATATTCACGTAGTTGTTGCAATAGAGCTGTGGAAAGTTATTTTTGGAAGAAGAATCGGACTATCGTGTTGTATCTTTTTTGGGTAGCTGGATTTTTTAGAACCTATTCCAAAGTTGCACATGTTGCCTTGTAGAACATGGATAAAGAAGGTCTTGACCAAAATGTTTTTGCCACTTTTGCATATGACACTTGATTAATGTCATGTACTAAAATCAAAATGAGAGGTATAACAAAGAATCATATTTTTCTTCTTTTTGAAAGAAAATTCATATTTTACAACACATATTTATGTCTAGATCTTTGTGTTTTCAGAATTCTCTACAGTAATATCCTAATGCCACTTATTTTGTCTAATACCTTGAATATAAAACTTTTACTAAGAATTTTTTGCAATAAGCTTGCAACTCAAAATGATAAAACTAATACTCACTTGTTTGTGAATTAGGAATATATTTCTATAATTATTTTTCAAAAACAGAATTAAATAAACATTTTTCATTATATATACATAAAAACATTATATATATTTTAAAACTTAAGATAATAAAAATTTTAAGACCATGTGGCTTTTTTAATGCATTTAAGGGTATTTAAAACTTAAAATCAATATTTAAGTTTCATTTAAATGTAAACTATCTTTTAGTAGATTGTGTTTGTATGTCATAGGTCATTATAGAAGTTTTAAAACGCCACTATTATAACTATAGATATGTTCTACATTATTGCATTAAAAGAGGAAAGTAGCCTTGGTATCAATGCCCTAGTTTGCCAAGATGTTCAAGTCAACTTAGAACTTCATATAGGTAAGTTATGCAATATAACCTAAGTTGCTCTTCATAGATATATAATAGATTAAAATACACATATATATATATATATATATATATATATATGAAAAAAACTTATAATATATCCTATTAAAATACTAAAAGTGATCACCATGAAGTCACAACAATAAGGTATCTTTATGTTTTTAACATAATATCATTTCAATTTATTTAGTGTTAATAATCACAACTTCTATAATTTCCTTTTACAAGAAAAAAATAAAGAGGCAAAAATTTCCTAAGACACATTAAGCAATAGTAAACCACCTACTTCTTCAAAGGTTTTTATTTAATTTTAGAGCTTTAATTACATGTTATGTTCTCTCTACTATTAGATTTTAGAAGATCAACTGAAGAAATTTTGATTGTTATTGCAACATAGATTTATTTAAATTCATATAAATTAAAATTAGATTAGTTTTTTTTATATTAGAGTTAAAAAATTGTAATCTTTTAAGTTCAAAATCTTAACAAGATGACATACAAGTTGTGTACAAAGCTAATAAAAAGTGGTGTAGATCTACCACACTATTAATAATCAAGACAATATCAATTTTTCTATATGCTTCTTTGGATTCTCTATATGGAAGTATAAAAGAATACTTAATTAATCTATCTAATAATAAGATGCAGTGATGGAAGCCATTATAGGAGATGAATATTTCAATAATATTGATTTCCATAATGCAAATAAAGATAAGATTATTTTCTTAAGATATTCTTCTAATATCAAAGATTTTTCAATTCTTAATCTAAATTATCTTATAGAATTTGACATTAATATATTAATGCTTGAGATAGATTATTTAGATAAATGTTTTACTTACTAATTTTTTTAGAAAATCATTTCAACCTATCTTTGAACAATAAATTCTTTAGCTTTAAAACTTAATTTTTATTTCAACTTCTACTTAGTAGTTTTGAAGGAATCGATAAAGATTTTTTTTTAAAAAGAAAAAATTGTATTGTAAAACTAGAGCTAAAAACAATCTATTCTAATTTTGGTTTGTTTAGCATAAAGTAGCAGTAGTCAATGCTTGGTGTAAAAAAATAAGAAGATAAATAAATAATAGTTTTAATCATTACATTTTAATAATAAAATCAATATTACAGTTTTTTAGAAATATATTGTAGCCAAGAAAAATAAGAATAAGAAACTAGTCTATTATATTAATTAAGTAAGAAGTAGCCAAGAAATAGCTCTTTGTCTACATTGAATCTACAATAAGCAACTTTTTGAGAAATCCTTGTGCAAATTAAAGATATGTATACTTTGTAGCCCCTCAAAGCAAGAACTTGTTTTTAGACCATGTAGAAACAACACAATGATAAGATATGTAAGAGTAAATTATGGATAGATTTTAAGGTAGCCCTAATTATACTTAATTACTTTATAAATTATCATAAATCTAGTTGAGATACAACTTTGCAAAACATTTGTAAGTATCTCTTAAAAACATTTATTTATTTATTTATTTATTTATATTTTTTTGCAAAGTTTGGCAAAAAGATGAATTAGAGCCACAAAACAAGGTATAATAATTACATGCAGCATCATCAAGTGGAACAAAATTCTTACTTGTAAGGGCTAACTGCCAAGTTATATTTTTTTCTATACTACCTCCTAATTATTTAAAAAATGTCAAACGTCTATTCTGTAAAATCTATTCAAATTTCTATAGGAAGAGGGTGTACCCACATAATTTAGAATAATTTTATTTAAATAATAAATAACTAACTAACTAACTAACAACAACAACAATTCAAAAGAGGTTATTTATTTATTTATACAAAAAATCAAGAATTGCGACCAAGCGACGAGCCTGAACAAGCGCCACGTGGATTGATATCACCTTCCCAGAATTGAGGCTCACGCCAGTCCCCCCTTTTCGGGCTCAGTGAATGAATAAATGTAGCTGAATGAATAATAGATGAATGTTCATGGATGTCAATGAACGAGTCGGATGATTGAATCTCAGGATGAATGCATGTGGGCATGGATGAATTTGATGATGGATGAATGTTTGGATGGATGAATTAATGAATGTGCATAAGGAACGTTGGAGTTGTTGGTAGTCTGTGGAGCTTCAACCCGTCCCCCTTCCTCGCGTTGCAAGCAGCGTCGCAGATTCACGCAACATTCGTGCCCAACACAAAATCTCACAGCCCTGGCACCAGCCTTTCATTAGGAAATGGGTGCTGCGTCGCTGCAATACTCTATCTAGAACCGCACAAGACGGTCGGATAATGGAAAAGCTCCCATTTGCGAGGGAGAGCTCGACGGTATTGTGCGCGATCTGGAGGAACATCATCTTCATCTTCATCCTCAGCACCATCATCCTCTGGGCAGGGCTCACTGGAAATAGTGAAAGATCTTGGAGGATCTTGCTGTTTGGGGACTGCCGGAGATGCCCCTCGTTAAAAATGGTTGATTTGTTGATTTGTTGACCGAAGCGGTTAAATATAAGCCCCGGGCGATGTGTGGTGGGAATTCTAGTGATGAGATGGTGGGGAAGTAACATGTGGCAACACATGTTGATATTTAGAAGATGGGTGTTGAGCTTCTGCCCTGGCATAGTTACTTTTGAGATTCAGCCGCATCGTTGAGCCGAACCCTAGTGGCAATGTCGAAGGAATTGCTCTTGGATTTGCTGGGTACAGAGGAACTTGGGCTCATTGATTGTGTGTACATCCTAAAATAACTACATTCCTCAGACGATGCCCCCGAGATCACTCTCCGACATCCATTTTTCCCCATGCGTTTTTACTTTGCTAGACGTTCTCTAGGAGACTGTACCATGCTGTTATCGGCAACGCCTTCATGAGAATTACTTTGAGAACCAGCCTCTCATCTAAGAGCTGCGCCGCATTGCTCAACCTAAACATCATTTCTCAAAGCGAGAAGTCATGCTGTCCAGGGCAAAAGAAGCCGAGATTCTAAGCAGCGAGGGAAATGGCGTGGGCCGAGTAAGTAGGACCGGTGAACGATGCAGAAGGCATATTCTATCGACGCACTGAATTGACGAGGCAGCAGAACAGTAATTTGCGGGGAGAAAGAGATAGCATCCCATCGTTACGGTAAATTGTCCATGGTCTTCAACAAGAGAAAATGTCGGGCCAAATTTAGAAAATTCGGTGCAGGTGGGCAATGGAGAAAAATAGGCCTTGCAGCAGAGGTAAGGAGCACCCAAGGGCGGGACCCTCAGAGGGACACGCCCCACACCTCAGGAAGTGGTAATCCCACCAGCTGGGCAAGCGTTCGGAGTGGCCGTAACGAGTCAGGGTGAGTTTACAAAGCCCCGAGGTCGTAAGCGAAAACCTAGTTCCAGGTGATCGAATTGGCTCGGTAGATTTGACCTGAGGGAGGTAGAAGTCCAGCCATCCACGAAGGGGAGGAGATTTCACAAGGTTTGATCGGGTCTCATTTGCTAGTGACCCTTTGGGGTCGCAAAAGACACCGACCACCGAGACGGCGTGCGCACGCTCGCACGCATGCACACTCCCCGTCCATAACTCTCGGCCTGTGTCTGACTCCTTGATACCATACTCCATCCGAGCCCCGACGATATACGACCAATAATCGATACCGCAGCGACGGGGGTGGGACGAGTATCATTCGTTCGTTATGATGCTAGGGGATTAAAGGGATCTGGGGATAGCGTTGGATGCGCAGACGGGATCTCTCGTCGCAACAGTGGGTTTCTTCCAGTACCGACCTAGCTAGATAGGAGCGGCGATGGAGCATGCTATGTAGAAGAAGAAGAAGAAGAAGAAGAAGAAGAAGAAAAAGCATGGTGTCAGAGCCCTCAGTGGACGTGACTGAGGGGGAGAGTGTGCAGCAGGGTGGGCGCAGCGTTGATGATACTTTATTACTGGTCCGATTGAATTGCTTTTCTCCTCTTGCTTTTGCTTGAGGGCTGCTTCCATCGCTCACCGGGCCCTGCAAGGGTAAAATTCCCGCAATCTGCGCCTTTTTCTCTGCCAAGAAACAGCATCTCAGAGGCAGATGCCACACCTCCTTGCATCGCCACCTCTCCTTGAATGGAAAGCTGTGCTTCTTTTTATTAGTTCGTCTTCCGTAGGTGAGTCTGGAGCCTATTTCACTGTTCAAGAGCATGGTTCCTTGACTTGGGGGTTGACATTATTTGGCCATTTGTAGGGGTGTGCGTGGTTAGGGGTTTGGTTGAAGGAGAGGAGTTGTTGGGTGTGTAAGTGTTTGAGAGTGGGAGGTGCATTTGGTGTCTTGCGTCAGAAGGCGAGGTGGGGTTAGTAGTTCGGGGATTGTGAAGTCGTGGAGAGGGAGCGATGGCGCAGCAGCCGAGTACAACGATGATGATGGCTATGCAGCAGCAGCAGCAGCAGCACCAGGTGCACGGAGGAGGGCATCACCACGGGGGGATGGGGTTTCAACATCCTGGAATGGGAAGCCAGCAGCAGGGGGCTGGAGGGGGTGGCGGTCCTGTCATGGGCGAATTTCTGGAGCACATGTTTGGGATTCCGGGTGGAGGGATGTTTGACATGGGGGCGGGTGGCAGAGGCGGGTCGTGGGATTACAATGTGGGTTCAGCGGCGGGGAAGGGGTTTGGAGTGGGAGGGATATCTTCTGGAGTGGGGTTGAGTAAGAAGGGGAATGAGGGTGTCGATTATGGCTTGTCAGAGGTGCAGATTCGCCACCACCATCAACAGCAACAGCAGCAGGGTGGTGGAGCTAGAGGTGAGGTTGCCATGCCCGTGGGGAGGGAGGCTCGTAATGGCGCGGCTGTGCATGGGGATTCGTTAACGCGGTCAGTGTCACTGGGAAGCAGTGCAAGTGAAGATTCCGGCCCACAGCAAGGCAAAAGCGACCAGTTGATGGTCTCGCCCAGCCATCTTCAGCAGCCGTATGGTGGTGGCGGTGGCGGCAGCGGCAGCGGGGTGTCACCACTGCCCATGAACTTTCCTCAAGCCAAGGCAGAGAATGTGTTGCTGGTCGGAGGGATGGACTCGCACAACGCCCTTGGGAAACGATTCCGGGACGACGACGATGGTCGCCCCAGGACCACTGTACGCTTTTAAACATCTCTCCTCCCTGTATTCTAACATCACATTGTATCTGTCGAGCCATGGAGTCACCTTTTTCGGAGTCGGAGCCGTGAATTTGACCGTCAGACTCATGTTAAGTTACAAGGTGTGAGTATGCTATCTTCAGGTGATGCTTGAGACTACCTTGAGAATTTGTGAAGAATAACATATTCATTGAATTTCTCATGAATAAACTGAATTTTGTGGTAATATAGGTCACTGTTTCTATCTGCCATTCGGATTTTTGTTATATTTTAATCTAATCGAATGTTTGCATCAAATCAGCTCTGCAAGCTCAGGAAGTTTATTTATGCATAGGGTCCGAGACTTTAGAGACTGTGGTTGAATGCCCAGTTTATCTAGGGAAATTTGTAGTAGTCTGTGATGTTGGATTTTTACTGTGGGCATGTATTCATGATCGGTTTCCTCACCTTTATATGTGCTGATTCCTCGTTTATTTATCTTGGAGAAGTGAGTTCAGATTTGCAAATCTTAGTTCACTTGAACACATCGAAGTTTCTTTGTGATCGTTGATGTATCTTGCAGGGGCTACATTTAATCGCAATTTATTATCTCTCCTTTTTTTTTTTTTTTTTTTTTTTTTTTTTTTTTTTTTCTCTCTCTTTCTTTCTTTCTCCCCTATGTTCAAGTTTTCCTCTCTGCCATTGTTTGGTAATCTGCTTGTTATAGTACTGTACTACTTTTTCAATTGTAAACTTTAGGGCGGTGATGAACTTTTTTCGTACCATCTGAAGCTGCAGCGCGATATTGACCGCTCAATGAACGATGCAACCTGGTACAGTAAGTGTAGCTCGTAGCCAAGGTGGGCACTGCTGTACGAGGAAATAACCTAATGGGTAACCTTTGGCGCTTCACTTTCGGCTATGCAGCATTAAGTATTTGTTGACTTCGTCAGTTAGCGGCGCCAAATCATTTCTGTGTCATGTTTGAAATCCATACCACGAAGTAGAGTCCTGTGCTGGCGTATCCTTTCAGTGTTCCTGGTGTCTCGTCTCAACTTGGTGTCTTTTGTGTATATCCTTATACTGTTTTTCTAAGGAGCTTGCTCAACATCAGCGGATATTTCTGTACTTTTTCTTTGTATCAGTTTCACATATTACTCACCTTTTCGGTTGGTTTGTTGTGTTGATGAATGTTTTCTTGGTTAGCAGGGAGTTATGTCAACTGGAAGTGCCCAAGGGTCTGGGTATGCCAACCCAGGAGGTGTCCCCTCGGGACAGCCACTGCCTGGCATAGGGGCTAGACCACGAGTGCGAGCACGTCGTGGTCAAGCAACTGATCCGCACAGTATTGCTGAACGGGTATGAGTATTCTTGATTTATTGTCTTTTCTGATGTTTTTAAAATTACCTTCTCAGGGAGTTGCATGGCGATGATAGGAGGCACTATGTCGATTTATGATAAGAAAAGGAAATTCCAGAAGCAATGTATTCGGATCCCGTGTACTCCATATTGTTAGTTCATGACAGATATAGTGATGCTTTGCCTGCATTGACATATCTTGATCTCGTCTTTGATCGGGTGTGGATAATAGCTTCGCCGAGAGAGAATCGCTGAGCGCATGAAAGCCTTGCAAGAACTTGTTCCCAACTCTAACAAGGTGCGGCATCGTTCGAACCTGCCTTTCACTTTTTTGTGCTCTGAATCAGTTGTATATGTATGGTTTAGCCACGTGGTGAAAACATAGGTGCATTAGTGTATCTTTCTCTACCTACTTATGTACAGCATGAAAGACAGATGAAGTCTTTGCTATTTAATCTTATCTCACTGCTGTTTATTAACAGACTGATAAGGCGTCTATGCTGGATGAAATCATCGACTATGTCAAGTTCCTGCAACTTCAAGTGAAGGTATGACTGTTAGTATTATCTAGTCAAAATATATGTGGTTGCTGGCTTGACATTTTGCTATTTAAATGATGCCCGTCACATGAGGAGGGTATCCAGCATAGCTTTATATGAGTGGCCCACCATCTCTATGAAACAGCGTTTCTGTTTTGTGATCTGCTTCGTTCTGAATATTCTTGAACCAAATTTTGTCGGATGGTGGTTATGGCAGGTTCTAAGTATGAGTCGATTAGGAGGTGCTGGTGCACTTCCTTCACTTGTTAATAATGACCTGCCTTCTGAGGTATGTACTTAACATTTATTGTTTTGTAATGGATTGAACTGCTCTCTCTACACAAGAGTTATTTTTTTAGTTCAAGCTTAGATGTCTTAGCGTTTACTTTCACCACTGCGGGCTGAAATGAGTACTTTTGCCGGAATGATAGGGTGCAAACACTTTCGCTGCATCAGCTGGGTCTTCCGGTATACCTAACCCCGCTCAAGATGGGTTAGCTTTGACTGAAAGGCAAGTGACGCGCATGATGGAGGATGATATGGGCTCCGCAATGCAATATTTACAGAGTAAGGGACTCTGTCTTATGCCTATCTCTCTTGCAACTGCGATATCAACAACAGGCAAGGGTTCAGCGCAAGCGACTGCTAATGCAGGGGAGCGACTTGGATCAGCAGCGGCAGCAAATACGGGTAAATCTGTCACTGATCCTAGCTCAGCTGGAGGATCCAAGGAGGACGGTTCAGAGACTGCTAGGGTGACTGAATGTGCCACTCAAGGGACCTAAAAGCTCATGCCAGGTTCTGCAGCTGATGTGGCAGGATGTAGCCATGGCTACGTATCATCTGTGCACAAATCAGTAGCTTCCGACTGTAGCAGTGTTGTTTCTGAGTGACCTGAAGCTACTGAGGCTGGAGATATCCCGGTTGTAGCTCCTGACATGCAGCAGTTACTCTTTGTGGAGGTGCGTCTGTAGCTTGCTTCCCTGAGGAGTGGAGCTTGTAGTGACAGGCAAGTAGTCCTATCCCTCAATCATCAATTCTTGCGTTTAGCAGGTTCCATATCATATCCTTAAACATGTGCGCATCATGTTAAAAAAAATTTATGGCTTTGTCTAGAGTAAGGGTCTATGTCACATGTTTTGTCTAAATCATTACAATATTGCTTGCTGCGCTAGTAAAGATGCTCCTAAAATGTAGTTTTTGAAGAATACCGTGTTGGAATTTAATGGAATTTCACTCGAAAGGTTTGCCATTACAAGACATTACTGCTCTGATGTGCGACTTAACCAATTTGAATCCTACATTCTTTCTAAACCTACAGCTTGGATGTGCAGGTAAACGGAGTCCAGGTGTGTTGACAAGTGTCGACTCTGCAATGCACGTACTGCATTCGTTCAGGCATATCCGTTGTATTCTAAAATAGAGGCTGACAATTTTTAGGAGAACCTACTTTAATTGAGTGGGCCCGTTGAATTTGCAGTGGGTGGACCTCTGAAGTTCGTCTGAATCTTTTAATTTTTTTCACTGCCTTAACCTAAATGCAACTTCGGTCATAAGTAAATACAAATTTTGAAGTTTGTACAGCATTCCTAATTTGATAGTAGTATCTTCAGCTCAACATAAGTGGAGCACTTGTTCGTTCTTCTCCGTCTACTTTTATCACCCTTTTGTGAATACAAGAACTTGGTTCAGCTTGTCTTTGCTGTTGAAAGTTGGCTTAACTCACACATCTTGGCGTGTACACTTTGAACTAAGCTTGCAATCTGATAGGGGCCCTGATGTTCTTCATGTTGAATGCTACTGTTGTGAAGTATTATTCTTAATTGTGAGCTCTTTTCGACTATGTTGTTAGTCATGAGAGTATTATGAGTAGAGCAATCGAATGTTTGAGATTGCAAAGTATATTCTACTGTTTAATATACTGTCAAGGGCATATTTCCATTCTACCAACCCTAGCTATGTTACAATGATTCCTACTATGTTGAGAGTTTACAAGAATAGAAGATGTTGACAGTGCTGTTATAAGAACATACAACTATTTACGTTCTCTAAAGAATATTTAAGTGCCACTTACAATTATATTAATAGGGTGTGCAATCGCGGAATGTTTCAGAAACAAATTCGATTAAGAATGTACATGATCCAATTTTCTTCTACTATTCCTTACTACAAATACCTCATTCTAAAACTAATAACAAATAGGCTTCATTGCTTGGATGTGGCAGTGGTTGCTTCCAAAAACGATTTCAAAGATTCTCTGAAAAACTAACTGCAGATATTCGGATGAAGTTCTGGTTCTTTTGGTTATTTCACGCATGTCCCTCACCTACTTTGTAGCATTCTTTGCCAACATTTCCCTGATTTATTCTCATGTGATATCTTCTAACAACAGCTTGATTAGAAATTTGGACATAAAGTGGCTTCCAATATTGCAGGTAGAATTGACAATGGGGATATCTGAAGTCTTGCCTAATTTTTTCCTCAATTTTGTTTCTTGTTCAATTTGTGAACAATTTTCCTGTCCTACTATTTTAGCTTTATTTTTATTTTCATTTATTTTCTATAATTCTATGTTTCAGTGTAATCAATCTCTGTTCTTAATTTTTGAATTTTTCGGTAAGTTGTAAACTAAACAGTACAAGAATATAAAAACAATGCTTGTAAGCAAACAAGGCTTAAATACAAAACTATGTAAAATATAGAAAATTAAAAATTTATGCAACTTTTTATTTAAAAAAATTTTTAAAAGGAAAAGAAGGTTAACAATGGTTTCAATACAATCTCTTTATTTGTATTTATTTTTTATAAAAAAATAAACACAAAAATATACAATGCCTTTAGTTTTTTGAAAGTTGATATTATATTCATTGATACTTTAAACTAAACCTTTATGTTGATAAAGTGACAATTTTAGTATTTTTGATTTTTTTGAAACATATTAAGGGAATTTTAACTTCTCATGTTTAAAACATCAAGCTTATACCTTTTATCAACATAGATTTTTCATATTTAATTTTTAAAATTTTAATTGGGTTATCTTATAATCATTTTAAAGTATAAGTTGGAATTCAACAAGCAGGAGCTTTACAAAGATATTTCTGCTTTGTTGTGAGTGACGATGAATAAAACAAAAATAGGTAAAGTTTTTATTATTTTTAAACTTGAAATTTAAATTTGATTATTATTATTATTATTATTATTCCATATTATTATTCCATTATATTCTTTGATGTTTTCTGTTTCATAAGTTGTAAGAAGTTTGATTGGACTCTATTTTTATTTAAATATGAAGAAAGGACCTTGGACCTTTGTAACCACCATGGTGCTTTAAGAATTCAAAACTAATTTACTTACTTTCTAAGTTTTACAATCTACTTAATGTACCATTTTAATTTCTTTTCAGTTTGCCAATTTATTTTAAATAATATTTGAATTTCTAGTATTAATCACAATATTGTTAGAAATTCAACATTATAATGTTGTTTTCAAATCCATCCTCAAAAAAATTCAAAATGTTTTTAGATGTTTCATATGAAATTATTTTAGGCAAGTTTATGATGCAATTTTTTTTTTTTTTTTTTTTTTTTTTTCCTCAAATATTGGTAATTCTGAAATATTTTAGAACCCATCATCCAAGTTGAACTAAAGCTTGATGTAGTTTCCAATGTTATATGTGTAAAAGTTAGTTAATTGGATTTTAGGATGTGGTTGTGAAAAATGAAATAGTTTTTTTCTTTTAGATTGACGGCAGTAATTCATGATTTTTATTGTACAGTATGTAACAATTTATGCAATGGGTGGTATTCTTTAACTGGAAAATTTTCAATGTCGTAATTAATTTACATTAGAAAAAGAATTTTTATAATAAAATCTTAAATGCTTTTACATTTTTTAGCTATAATTTCATCAAGAAAATTACTATGAATTGATATTGTGAATAATGTTAGATATTTAGATATGATTTTATCAATTTGTTAATATTTCATGCTTAGGAAAAAAGGGAAAAAGGAAAAAAGAACCACAGCCAGTTTGTTAGATAAATTACTCGTAATTATGAAATATTAAAACACTATTACTAAGAATATATATATATATATATATATATATATCGAAAATAGCTCAAAATTTAAATACTAACTTTTATTATATATAGGATAATAATATGATAATAACCTTGTATTCTATTGATGCACAAAACATATTTTCAAATTGTAAAAACTTAATTTAAAGTAGTTCAAGATTTAATACAACAATTATTTTTTATTTTTAAACACCCAATTTACATATTTTGGAATTATGTGTAAATCCATGCATGTGTTATTAAAAAGACGAAAACCTTATATTGTAAATCATAACACTAATATGAAAAGATCCATTTCATTTCAGTATTAATGAAAATGATAATATTTATTACTATTTTTTTTTCAAATTTTAAATATCAGAATTGGAAATTTAAGTGGAAACATTTAAAAAAGAGTACATATACAAAAACACACCTACCATTCATGGAGAATAGTAATACGTAAAATTTTCCCAGTTTTGTAGAATTATTTTTCTTTTGGCAGGCCCAAACTGATTTCATGCGTGCACTTTTTAAAAATGACTTAAATTACATTTTAGAGTCAAATGAGTTATATCTTAACATTCATGTCATCCTTGTTATGTGTTTTGGCCTAAATGTGTTTTAAATTTTTATAACCAATACCATGTACAGAAACTGTATACAAATACTAAACTCCCTGATGAACTATGAATTGCCGATTAACTTTTCACATCAAGACCTTAATACAGGATATTAAATTTTCACCCAACAGCCAAGTTCATAGTCTAATTCCCGGTTGACTACAGTCGAAAACAAAATCTCATGTTACAAAAACATATGAATCTTCCAAAAGCAGCTTTGAAAGTTATTGTTCACAACCCAACACTATACAAATCATTTCAACAAAAAAAGTGATTATTTAGCAACAAAAACAGCGTTACTAAATACAATGGCAATACAGTATCCATGCTGCGTGTTCATTCTACACCATCATTCTGAGTTATCCATTTGCTTGGATTCATATTTTATGAACACTCTCCACATGGACAATCGTAATAGCAAGTCGTGAGTTTCACTCCTATTTGTCTATCTTCATGTGACCTGTTTCACAGCCTCTGGTGTGCTTGCCTTTGTTCGATGCTCAGATCGAAATTTGCTCAATTGCAAGAACAATATAGAAATTGCCGCCTTCGACATACCAGGTCAGGATGAGGCGTAGTGTAGGCGTTAATTGATAGAGGTGATGCTTATATCAGTGGCAAACGGCGTCCACTTGCCACAACTGGTACCATGTCAAGCCACAGTCAGGAAAGCTGTGAATTAAAATGATTTGAAGACTATGACTCGGCACATGTGCATGGGATTCATAGACTTGCTGGGTTTACTCCTACGATGTCCATATGATTCACCTACTTGTGTTGAGAAGAAAGATATGGTATAGTTTGATGCAAGTCAAGATGAGACAATGCTTCAGCGAAGAGATCAAAACTTTTTCTCGATCGATAATGACGCTGCAGTTATCGGACTACAGTTCAATACATTAATTCCATGATCAATAGGACAACAAAGCTGATGTAGTTGTTCCAGGAACGTCAAGTTCACAGAAGACGATGTTGGTTTTGCTTGCGGAGACCGACTAGCCCTCATCAACCACTGAGTCCCTGATGGCGGTCGACGTAGGAATCGATGGTCGGCCATAATCGATGACGTAACTCTACGCTCTCCAGAAAGAACTCGAATAAGTGCACAAGTTCACAGTCAAAGGTTAAGTGTACCATGTGAAGAAAAAAAAGAAAAGTAAAAGTCCAGTTGCCGATGTATACCGCAGAGTGTATCGGAGTTCTCGTTCTCGGGGAGATCTCTCTAGAAAGTATGAAGCTTAGGAGGTGACGCTTCTGTTTCAGGTGCTTGTGCAGCATCGTCATCTGCTTATGACTTAGCAAATTTCATTGGGAAGAGTATACATACTTCTGTGTTATGGGACAATGATAGGACCTTGCTCGTGGACACCCTGGTAGCAGATCTTAGACGCGGCACATATGGAACCTTATGAGATACTCGTAGTCTGGGCATGATTCCGTAATGACGCGGTAGAAACCTGAACCATGGCCCACGACTTTATCGCATAGGAGAAGAGGAATACACTCAGGGGGGTTTCGCTTGTCCAAATGCGGCAGCCACCTGACGTTCAGCACTTGCAACCAGTAGGTGAATGGATCCCTGGAAAACTCGAGATAATAATGCCTGTTCATGATAATTTCTATGCTCTTGAACTGAAGCGGGAAAATCGACCTGGGTATAATCTCCGCTACTTTCATACGCATGACAAGCCATTCGAAAAGGATGTAAGTAACTACCTTCACAGCGGTATGGTCTTCGGAGGGAACCGTTGGCGCCATTAGCTATAGATTTGCTTGGATTATTGCACAAGAATGCTGATATGAGAGACGATGAGATCGGAGACCACAAGTAGGAGAGCGATCTGATCGATGACTGCAAGAAACACGAAACTGCCACATCAAACTAGCGCTTCGTTCGCATTGCTATTCATTAACCTATACACTATCTGCACTGTCTCGTGTCATGTTGGCGATCCCATGCTTGATAGACTGGTATTGTTACCACGTAGAGAGAAGGATCGTATTAGTTCAATTCGATTGGCTCGCCTA